TTCAAGGCCATCTGGTCGGCGCGATCTTGAATTCCGAGTCCGGGGAGCAATTGAACGTTCTTCATCGCCACCTCGCCCTGCGCTTCCATACGATGGGGGTTAAGCGAGGCGGAACTGAACTGATCAGTGAAAGAACTTAGCCAGTCTCCGCGAGCATCCGCAGGCGCTGATGGTCAAACGTGCTGGCGCGACCGAATCGTGGGATATCTGCCCCTTCTCAATCTGGCCACTTGCTCGCTTAATTTACCGCCTATCGCAGTCCGTCAAAACCGCGCTCGTCCGGCTCATATAAGATGAGCAGGGCGCGACCCACATGTGCCCTCAACTCATCTCGCCCCTCTCTGCGACATGCCCAGCGCCCCGAAACGACTCCGAGTAGCTATATGGTGCGTTCCTGCTCATGGCACTCGGCGATCAGCGCTCATTTAGCATGGCATAGTGGCGCGGGAATAGGAGGACTTACCCTCGCTGTGGCGCTCTCCCAATATCCGGACATCGAAGTCGAGGTCTTTGAAGGAGCGACGACCCTCTCGGAAGTGGGTGCTGGAATCGGCATTTTCCCTCGCCCTTGGAAAATCATCCGGATGCTCGGCCTCGAGCGAGACTTGCTCATGGCATGTGAGATGAAACCCACGGAAGGGCCAGGTGATCTTATTTTGGCGTCCCGTTTGCGCAGGGGGGCTCACTGTCGCAGTTTCGGCATTCAATATCAGGAAGAGCGACCAACGAGCCGGGTTCATTTTCACGACACTTATTACCAAAGGTAGCCAGAGACTTTGTTTGCCCCTTCTCTGATTTCTCATTCCAATCGCATAGGCATGATGATGCAGTTCCACCGCGCGGATTTTCAGAAAATACTGCTCGCGCACCTTCCTAAATCATGTCGGGTTAACTGCTCTAAGCGGCTGAGAACGTATACGAACCGGCCGTCCAGTCCAACAGAACTCGTCTTCGAGGACGGAACGAGAGCTGTCTGCGACGTCCTGTAGGTCCAATCTCTCTCGCACGTCCTGAGGAAGTTCCTCATCTTCCCGTAGCATCGGTGCAGATGGTCTGAAGTCCGCCGTTCGCCGCACCCTTCTGACGGAGCGCGCAAATTGGATGCAGGCACAAGGCCGGTGGCAGGAGGCGGCGGACATAGGTGCATGTATTGAGCCTTCATGGAGTGGGACAATCGCATATCGATCCCTAATTCCTGCGGAGCGGTTGAGAGCCACGGCTCCTGGACACCCCGTTCTAACGACGCCCACAATGGTAGTTCAGGCTCTGCTCTCCCGCTCACACAAGCTAATTTAGATCCCCAGTATCTTGGAAAACACGGCGTTCGTCATATGAGTCAGAACCTCTTCTCGAATTCGTCTAATGCCTTCCCAGTACTTGATCGCGTACCCTATATCTCACGGGAAGTTGATCAACTTCGTCGCATTCAAGTGTCGGCATGATCTCGAGCACACTGAGTTCGCCGGGGCATGGGTCGGACCTGGCGACAAGTCCCAATTTGCAGATCTTTTCGCGCACTGGGAGCCCGAAGCCCAGGCGCTATTACATGTACGCACCGCGCGCTTGCTTGTCTTCCGCGGCCTGTGCTTATCTTCGCTGCAGTGCGTGGAGAAGCCGCTGCGATGGGCCGTACACACAGTCAGGCCCCTTAGGTCTTTCGTCTGTGGGCCAACCGCTCTCATGGGCGACGCGGTACGTGCTTTCGTTAGCCCTGTCACTTCCTTCCCCACGCTGACTAGATGCAGGCTCATGCGATGACACCCCACCAGGGGTTAGTGCGCCTCTTCCCTCTGCACGCCCACAACACCTGACGTCGCTCTGCAGCTCCGGTGCAGGCCAGGCAATCGAGGTAAGCCGCCTCGCGCCAGCTCGATCTTAGATCTGAGTCCATCAGGACGCATACATCCTCGCGACCGTCCTCGGGCATCCGTCGACCACCCGTGAGACGGTCCCGCGCGCGCTGCGGATCTTCGACGAGATCCGCCGCCCCGTCGCCGCGGGCGTGGCGGAGGGCAGCCGCGTCAACGGCCAGTACTTCAGCCTCGCCGTCGAGGGCGTCGACTTTGACCGATATTCCGGCAAACAGCTGTGGGACAAGCTGCAAGGCATGCACGCCGAGGTCGTGAAGAACTGGGAGTGGAGTGCGTTGAACGTTTTTCTTCTCTCCATCGCCCAGAGTTCTTTTTGGCGCCGCCATTTATGTGTACTGATCGGGACCTTATTATTATAGCTTGGACGACCTCCGTTGATGGAATGATGAAAACAGCGCTTCGGATGCTGGAAGCTCCAATTTGACGGTACCGCGCCTTTTCTTTCTTTTCTCAACAGACAATTGTACATATGTACATCACTCCGCTGCAATCAGATGTATTCACTTTCAGGAAGGTTTTTCCTAGGCTTCGATTTGTCAAATAATGGCCACACCCTCTCTCACCTATGTTGTGTTGAATTTCGGTTGACCGCGATCAGTGCAAGGCGGTCTACTGCTTGCGTCCTTCGGCCGGATACGTTTCGATTCAACTCCTTCCTGAGCTATATCTCTTATGTCGGAGACCTCAGACCTCGTCATTTATCCACTTCAACCTTGAATCGCTTCCGAGCCTTGAGTCGGATCGACGACGCGATGAACGGAACAAAACTTATCACGGGATCGCGCCTGTCATCGTAGAGCGGCCTCTCTCTTCCCCTCCTCAGCCTCGTCTTCGTCACTCTTAGACTCTGTCTTGGGGCCCTTGGTAGGATGAATCCAATGTGAGCTTAAGTGGAAGAAAAAGTAGGTTGATCGCAAACACAACTATGACGGCCCGGGCCATTAGGGACTTCAACTTTTCAACGGCGTCATAGCTCAGTTGGGAGAGCAGCAGACTGAAGACAGTTTACGTTATCTGAAGGTCCCGTGTTCAAGCCACGGTGATGCCATTATTTTGTCTTTTGCTGCCAGTTCTCCTACGCCTGTCTTACTGCGCAGAATTTAACACATACCATCGCGCCTGACCCGATGGTTCGCGAATGCTTCCCTCCTTCACAGTGCTTCTTTAGCTCGTTCCTCCAGACAAGATCGCCTAGAGAGAATAACCGAAAACTCGGCATGCCGGCACGACACAAGGTCACGCCACTGGCTCTTCCTCTCCTACTCCCACCAACTCGGCGCTCTCCACCGAGGCATAAGAGCGGGATGAGCAGCTCCGACGCAAACTGGGCCCCCTTGGTCGCTTCCAAAGTTTCGGAAGTGCTTGCAGACTCCTCTTTCACGGTCCCGTCGACAGCCTTCTCATCGATCACTTCGCCCAACGCGCAGTTCGCGCTGGCTATCGACCATACTCTGCTGAAACCCGACGCGACGCCCGCGCAGGTCGACGAACTGTGTGATCAGGCGATCAGGTACAAGTTCATGGTGTGTACGCCACTCCTCGGAGTAGAGACGGGTTAGGTAACGTTATGCTGCTCGTAGTCGTGTTGCGTGAATGGCGCGAACGTCGAGCAGGTTTCGCGGCGCCTGGCTGGCAGCAGCTCTCTTACTTGTGCGGTAATCGGGTTCCCGCTAGGTGCGGGTACGACTGTCTCGAAGGCATTGTGATTGTTGTCTTCCACCTGTATTGGCGCCTCACTTACTACGGCTCCTAGCGAGGCAGCGAACGCGGTCAAAAACGGGGCGCATGAGATCGACATGGTCGTGAACGTTGGCGCACTAAAGGCGGGAAACTTTGCCCTTGTGCACGCCGACATCCAGGCAGTGGTGCACGCAGTCGCGAACACACCAGTAAAAGTCATCCTGGAGACTGTATTTCTCTCCGACGAGGAGAAGATCGCAGCGTCATTCCTAGCAGCCGAGGCGGGCGCCGCGTTCGTCAAGACATGCACGGGCTTCTCAGGGGGCGGGGCTACGGCCACGGATGTGCTTCTCATGCGGAAGAGCGTCGCGTACAAGCCCAGTGTCAAGGTTAAAGCGTCTGCTGGGATCCGGAGCTTCGATAAGTGTCTCGAGATGTTCAAAGCAGGCGCTGAGAGGATAGGAACGTACGTCATGGCTTCTTTCTCACTTTGCATCCCTGGCTGAAAGGTGATTCGGTACAGGTCTTCGGGCGCTGCTATCATGGAGAGCGCCGAAGTAGCGGCGGGCTCGTACTAACTTCATGGAACGAGTGAGAAAGATCTTTCGTTTGTCGAGCAGGCGTGATTTTCAACGACCGAAGCCCTCCAGTTTATTACAAGCGCATAGCTCACGACTGAATATCAAGATGCATATGTTGATCTCATGAGGCATATACTTTTGTAGATAATCTTCGTTTGCACCGAATCGGACAACTACTCAGCGTGCTCGGTGCGGTGGAATGTACATCCTGCAAACAAGACGCCGATGTCAACCTGGTATCCGATGAGTGGGCAAAAAGGTGTAGCTGGGCGTTATTGCCCCATGTTGGTCCAACGGTCGGTTCCTTGCCGTAGCATCCGGCTAACGTAGTAAGGGGTGGTTCGTTACTATTACTTCCTCGAAATACAAAGTCCTATCTACTTGAAAGTAGCTTCCAGTCCAAACGAAAGAGCCAACCTCAAACCCTTACACCCACCCCTCACACCCACCCCTCCTGTTGGCAGCTTCTTTCTCTTTGCTTCAAAAGCCCAGAATGGGTTACCTAATTGTGCTTGAAGGGTTCGGTTCAGATAGACCAATCTGAAATGAGTATGCAACAGGATTCATCCCACTGCCAGGATCTCAGAGCTGCCTATACATAGCTGCCATAGGCACATTGGGCCGGCTGGCGAGCAAGAATACCCGATGACCGGACTCAGAGTCTCAACCGAGAGTTTAGTACTGAGGAACACAGACTCGGAGGACAGCTGCCAGCAATCAGTACAGTGAGATGTATTAACCATATGAGGGAAGATGCGAGGTGCTTTTCCTTTCATTGACCCCTCCATTCACATCAGGTTACTAACATAGCTATCGTTAATCATACAAGTGGCAGAGGTAGATTATCACTGTCGCAACGAATATAACAGGGCACATGGTGTAGTTGGTTTATCACGCCCGCTTCGCATTCTTATGTAATTCTGCGGGAGGTGTTGGGTTCAATTCCCAATGTGTCCATCTTTTTCCAGAATCTCTGTTCGTCCAGATTTTTTTCTTCAACTTGAACTTCTTCTTACGTGACCATTCCACGTCAGCATTGCGGGAGGTGCGGGGTTCAATTCCCCGTTCGTCCATTTTTTTGCATTCAACTGGTTCTCCATACTCCCGCCCACTACTACCCCATGATATAGATACAGTCCCGCGTCCAGTCTGCGATGATCCTTGCCGCTCAATTGTGTACCCAAGAACTTGAAGAAGAGTTCGGAACGGGCGAGCACCGGTGCGCTCGGGTGTATGCATCTATTAAATCTAACCCGAGCTAATGGAGTGGACTGATAGTTCCCCCCGGCTATGGATGTAACTGGGTGACTTGGATAACTTGGGTTCCGACCGTCCGGCGGCCCAAACCATCGGGCTGACGCTTTCTTCGACAGCTCCATCCGCTACGAGCAAGCCTTCGAAGACCCTCCCACGTCATCAATAGTTGATCTGTACGCCGAACAAGCTCATTCGATGGCGATATTCTGTGCGCGCATGTCTCATACCGCTGGTTGCTCCGCGGTGGCAAGTGTTCTGTTGGCGCAGAACGACCGGACTCTCTTATCCCACATCAGCTTCAAGTTATAAGTATAAACAAGCGGACCAACCAGCGGCTACAAGGCGACCCAATGGCGTGCCGTTGTCTTCGTACCCAATGAAAGGCAGCATTCCCGAGAGGATCATGATGTCGGGCGTCGCATGTCGGTGCTTCCGCAAGGATCCGGATGTATTCCATGCAAGAATCAACTTGCTCTTATCATAGCCCCCGCATTCTCCGAGTCGGCCAGTTTGTGTATGTGCAATCCGATCTCTCACTAGCCCTGCGAGATTCCGAATATATGTATACTGAGATCACATTTCCAGAACTCTGCGATTTTCTTTGAAGACTGGACTGAACGTCCTCTGCGAGCCGACCAAAACATGAATGGCATCATGATCGGCATGATCCGAGCGCATCGACTCTAATAATAGAGTGCTATCGCCAAGCAGAGACGTCCACCGGAAACTACACCCAGAGGAATCGGAAAGCACCCGCTCATATCGAAACGGCTTTGGAATCCAGTAGCGTTCCGCTGAACAGTTTCCCATGCAAGACCATGCCGCGAGAGCATATATTTTGAGCCCACGCCAAGGAAGCAACACAGCAGCCAAGGTGTCGTCAAAAGATCGGGGACGGATTGACTCGGAACCTCCGCCCTTCTCGCCGTTGGACGCCTGGGCGAACAAGAGTGAACAACGGGACGCACACCTCTGATAAGCACGGAAGTGTGGTATCCCCTGCCGCCTTTGCGTCCTAAGGTTACTTTCTTGCGATGTTTCTTTTTGACTGATTTTCGCGAAGGTTTCCTAGGTTCCATAGCGATTTGGTAGCGATGCCGTCAAGGGTCCAGCAAAACCAGGAGGCCCGCTGTACTAGTCCGCTGTCTTGACTGTCTGACACCATCGTGCGTGTCCGCCTCGCTCGAGCGACGAATGCCTTGATCGTCAAGCATCTACGACAACCACAGGCGCCTGCACCGCTGATGCCGCCCAACACAGCGGGCCCGCGCGCCGCAATCATCGCAAGCGATGCCAAGCCCGCGCCAAGTGCGCGACTTACCACGACAGGCTGATTCCGGGAGGTGTGCCCGCGTTGCGCGATACCAGTGGCATCCGCCATTAAAAGGGCGCCCCGCGCTCAGGCGCCGCACTCTGCTCCGTGCGCAAGTCACCCTCTTCTTCTTCTCCGGGATCTTGGAATTCCTTGCTTTGAGCCCAGTATGGGCGGTATACTGTCCCATAATTCAAATGTGCAATAGGCGAAAAAACACGTTGTAATGACTCGGAATGTAATAGAAAAAAACACGATGTACACAAGATCCAATGAAGAAGAAAAAACGCAGTGCTGACTTAGAGGTCTTGCTTTCGGGTGACAAGGCCACATCACGCCGGATGTCCAGATCACACAATTTTGATATGATCAATGATTACATAGCTTGCATCCTGGCACTTCTCTCAGTCTGAACATCGTTGCACCTTACCAGGGTCACAGGATGGACTTCAATAACTGTGTAGGATGCCTCACAGTTTACTATTGCTCACGCATACCCAATGATATCTATAGATCTCTAGAAGCTCGCAGCTCAAGGCAAGCGGTGTGAGGTATGGTGCAATACATCAAAAAGTCAAGGATCTGTCGTAAGTTGCATTAATTGTCTAAGTCAGAGATGCAGAGATATATATACTGAGTGCTGAGCTTCGGCCCCTGTGGGGCGAGTCTCTGAGGTTGTCCTTCCAACAACAGTGGCTTTCTGGGCTCATAAATACCGACGATAGGGGCTTGAACTCCCAGATACGGTAATACTGTCGTTGGCATCACTCAATTCCGGCAACCGGGTTGCCGGCCGCCTGGCAGTGGGAGTTCACATTGCATTTTTTTTCGCACTGAGGTCTAGATCATCGTGTTTCTTTTACACCTATTGGGAACAGGCGACATCGGGTTTTTTTGTCTTGTTCATTGTCGCAAAAACTTCTAAAATGTAGCACATTGTTGAAGTTTATTTTTGGGACAGTATATGTGCCATAGCCCAGCCCCGGCGGCCCCACCTTCGTTCACCCTTCGACCATACCCTCTTTTGTCACTTGTGATACCCTCAAAATGCACTACATCAACCTTGCCTTGGCGCTCTCTGCTGCTGCGCTAACGTCTGCGGTGCCCTCCAACGCGAAGCAGAACCCGATCTGCAGCGGCACGGACAAGAACCGCCCCGGACTGACTGCTGGTGGACCCGGCGGATTGTACTGTGAACACGGCGGTTCCAGCGCTGTTATTATATTTATTGCTTACCGCGGGCGTAGGGATGTCCAACGAACCGAACGGGAACTTCCTGTTCACGGCGAACATCGACGCCGACGGGAAAGTGGTGCGTCTGCCGCTTTGTAGGCCGCGTAACCTGCATCTAAAATCTGACTTCGCTCCAGCTGTTCGGCGACGCGGTCTACGCGGGCGGCAACGGCGCGCACATGGGCCCGGACAAGTCGAAGCCCAACGGCCTCGCGTCGCAAGGCTCGCTCAAGGTCATCCGCGACAAGGCCGTCGTGGTCAATGCGGGCTCGGACACCGCGGCCGTCTTCCAGATCGACTTCCAGAATCCCGCGTTCGTGCGCATGATTGGGACCCCGATCAGCACGATGGGAAACTTCCCCGTCAGTGCAACGATTAGGTGCGCCTTGAGCTCGTAGAATGGCGCGCGGCACCAAGCTGATCGTACTTTGATAGCAATACCAACGGGAATGTCTGTGTTCTCAACGCGTAAGCCGCTGGGTTGAGCCTTGAAGCGTGTGTTAACGCGCTGTGCAGGGGCAAGAACAACGGCGTCAGCTGCTACACCGTTGACCTCCGCAAGGGCCTCGTCCCCATCCCCAACAGCGTCCGTTCGCTGAACCTGAAGCTGACGACGCCGCGTACGTCCTCCTCGTCTAACTCACTGCGCATGTTCAGATCTAATTACCCCCCCAGCGGAGAACCCGGACAATACGCCGAGCCAGATCCTCTTCGCGGACGATGGCAAGCGCCTCTTCGCGTCTGTCAAGGGCAGCAAGGACGCCGCGGGCTTCGTCGCCGCGTGGACCGTCAACGCCGACGGCTCGCTCTCCGACGACTTCGTGAAGAACACGCCCGACGGCGGGCAGAACCCCGCGTCGCTCACCGTCGTGCGCGGTGCGGACGCGCTCATGAACACGGACATCGGGCGCGGGATCAACATCCTCGACTTCGGGAACGGGAGCACGAAGGCGGAGAAGACGCAGGACCTTGCCATTGGCGGGAGCGCGCACACCGCGTGGGGCGAGTTCTCTGACGCGACGCGCAACTACTATATCGTGAGGTCCCCCCGCCCTCCGTGCGTGCGTGCGCTGACTCGGTGGCCGATAGAGCGACAGTGACACGGACCTGTACACGGAGATAAACATAAACCCGAAGACGCTCGAGGTCAAGGGCGTCAAGGTCCGTCCCCCCCTCCCTTCTCGCTCTTGCTCCGAGTTGCGCTGATGTTAACCCAAACGCAGCAATACCCGCAGAAGAAGGGCTCCTTCCCGATCGACCAGGAGGTCGCGCTGCTCGATGGGAAGGACACATCGTACCTGCTCTCGCCCGGGACGATGACGATCGAGGTCCTCGCGCTCACCGCGCCGGGCGCCGCGCAGCAGAAAGACGTGCGTCCCACCTTTGAGCTCCTATACCTCGCTGCATCTTAATCTGATGCCTTGCGTGTTGCAGGCGTTCGACATGGCGAAAGCCGCAAAGGCCGTGGGCGCAACGCTCAGCGCCGCGAATGTCCAGGGCATCCAGGCGTTCTTCACTGGCTAGGCGGGTTGTATTTCATTTTTGTAGTGCACGAGGGGGTCCATTTCATTATCTTTTGGGGGAACAAGCGCGGTTGGGGGGATGTATTTATTGTTGTGTAGTCAGGCATATGCAGGATGTACTGTAGGGTGGGTTATATATGGGTTCAAATGTATGGATTGCTCTGATTTCTGGATCTCCGGTTCTAGTTTTGGTGCCTGCGGCTCGTTTGCGACGTATACAGTGTAGATTCACGGTATGACTTACTGAAAACGAAATGTATCCAGTTTCAACCAGACTTTGATCACAACACGTGAAGTTCAAACTGATCCGGCAATCGCCGCTGCGCGAGTATCGCGGTCACCTGACCGTTGTCGGTGCGTGCAGACGGTGTCACCCACCGTTCAGTGATTCACCTTGGAAGGTAAAGCCTCGTTCTTCTACGCGACATATAGATTCTACCTCAGTGTGGTCATTGATCTCAATCGGAGAGTAATTGATTGCGATAGGACTGCCGGTCGTAAGTTGTAACTTGCAATTGGGCATTCTGGGATATGGTCGACTACGTAAGTACTTGTCTTGCGAAGTTTCTGCGGTATCTAATGAAGAGAGTTTCATCCCTACAGTTGAGCCCTTCAACAATGTGCTATTCGTA